TAGAAGATAGCATTCCGATTAATAAAACTTTATTAGCGATAAAGGAATGCGATAGAAGATACGCATGCGTGTTATCTACATGTCAGAGAAACAACGGAAACCTGAGGAAAACCAATTATAAATGTATGTATATACCAGAATTATCAATGAACAAAGTGAAAAAGATGTAGTAACGAATAGATTGATGAAACACCAATGTACTATTGTGGGCTACCGTTATTGGAAGCGTTTTCATTAACTAGTTAACTGCGTTTGACGAGTATACACGTCATCTTAAAGCTTGAAGTGATACTAATTCTTCCAAAGAAGAATTCTTTACTTCTTTAAGTAAATAAAATGTTATATAAAAACAGGATCGGAAATGCTGTGTTACAAAATTATAACAGAAATAGCTAAATTATACAATCTCGTTTGATTTTGCATGGAAACATGCACAATAATAACTGTGTTAGAGAGGTCATGTTTACTATTAGCGGTCATTGTAATCCTGCATGTTGTTATACATGCATATATACATTGCAGTACAACGTATGTATACCAGCTAGTCGATAATGGAAAGTTATCGGTTGAATTGAAATTTGATTTTTAAAATTTTACTCAATTTATTAACTTTATAATTACGTCAATTATGACAAAAACTTCGATAAAATATGTCCAATCGATCGAATTGATAAATAATCATTTATAATTTTTGTTAACCACTTCCCTTACCATAACGTATCAGACTCGCGATGAAGATTTTAAACCAAGTTTAACCAACTTAAATATTACCGAGTTCTTGTGAATTCAAATTAAGTATTATCCTTTTGTTATCAATTACTATACTTTTTTTATTTTCAATGAATCATTAATAATAAATAAAGTAGTTGTATCTATCATAGTTGAGAAATAAATCGTAAGGCAAGAGGTTAATTTCAATTTTTTCCATTTTTACTTGTATAATTCGCTAACACCTACTGTTAGAACCAAACGGAAACAACCTGTATATTAAATAGAAAGGAGGAAAGAATAATTTTATGAGCGCAGAAACTGTAAACAATTCCGAAGAGACCGCCAACTATCTATATGATTGTAAGTAGTCATTGAACGGCCCACCACGCCTCACGCCACGAGCTGATCGAGTGTTAATCGGTAGCTTGTATTAAACGCGAAAAAACAATCCGACCACAAGCTCGAATGCAGAACCTGCAATTCCGCCATAGTTCAATCACATCGCGGAGAATGTTCAATGTCGAGACACGCTACCCTGAAATGTCTAATATGTATACATACGAATAGTTGTACAGTCGATCTTCGAACAATACGGTTTTAATTAAACACAGATTTTTTCTGATTGTAAGTCAACATTATACAAGTTTCTGTGAATGGACGCTACTCCGTGTATTAATAGTAAACCGGGATTGTATATTAACCAGTTAAATGTGTTTGACGAGTATACATCATCTTAAAGCTTGAAGTGATACTAATTTTTTCAACGATGAATTCTTTAATTTTTCAGATAAATATGTAATTCTTCTTTGTTTTGCTCTGCTTTTTCATTAAAATATTCCCTAGGTGTATTCGTCTTGCGTTTGACGAATACACGCTTCAGTTTTTGATTTTATTGCGCGCAAACCGAGAGATTTTTTTTGGAAGAAACCGCGAGTTGTCATTGCCAAAAGACGATCAGCTAGACCATGTGTTATTGCCGTTGTCGCAAATATTTGTTACCTAGAAACGTTATCTATAAATCAGATTTCTGAAGTAAAAACAACAAAATTCAAGTTTAGAAATTTTTAATTTTATATCGACGGTATAATAAGAATATTTGTTGAGGTGTAATAGTTATTTTAGGATAAACGTAAGCTGGTGTTGTATACGTTTTATATTTACTACAAATTTAGAAAGCGTGCTGATCAGCGCATGGATAAGAAGCCACGTAATCGCCGTTAGTGATAGGTGAGAAAGGATTCAGTGTTATCGATAATGGAGTTTTCGAGTTTACCCCGGTAATATCAGGACTTGAGCCAAAGTGTTGAATTTATCGTCAGGAAGTGATAGTACTGAAAAAGAACTCCATTACGATTGAAACAGGTTATATGTATGATAGGAGATTTCTTGTATAGGCTGAAAAATTTCACTGCAAATTTCACGCAGTTCAGCTCTTTGTTACAGTTATACAGTTATTACTTTATTACTCTTTATTTATAATTCCTATAGCCTAGAGAAATATTTGTACGTTTTAGTCGATAAGTTTTGTTTAGAATTTTCTTAAGGCTACAAATTCTTTAATTATGCAAAGAAATTGAAGAGTAGCAACATTACCATATTTAAAAATAATATTAGAGCATTTTCCTAAGTTATTATACATAATATATATGTATTTATAATAGTTGCATTATAAATTATAAGCTCGCAGAGCCATAGGGCCTAGGTCAGCAGTTTCCAACCTCTATGCTACTACGCCTCCCTAAAAAAATTGTTTTTTCCGCACCTCCATATATTTTAATAGATATAATAATATAGACGCATTTTAAATAATAATAACTTTATTACAAAATAAACATTACTTAACTGAATTTGTACTGTCACGTTAGGATATGAAGTTCATTTATTTTTAGATAGTATGGTATGAACATTAATTTTTTATTAAAAATTTTGGCACCTCCCCTGGCAATAGTCTACGCCTCCCAGGTTGGAAACCGCGGGCCTAGGTCCAAGGTGCCGAACTGTTAGTGACATGCTCCCCTCATGCTAGTAATTCGCAATCAACATTCCCCAACTACCTCTACTCTTGGAGCTACCCGAGACTGTGTATGTGAGCAGCTCTATGTAGTGTTAAATACAAACAGGTAAAAGTAGGTATGAGGAGGGTAACTCTCCGTGAGGGGAAAGTCACTATGAAGCTCACGAACTCCCAATCTGGTCTAGGTAAATTCTAGAACGTTCAACTGGTCAATAAATGCCTTCCGCAGCTGTGAGCCGCATTCGTGTCGTGGTAGTAGTAATGGGAAACCGAAATACTCAAACTTCTTTCAAATCATTTGTTGAAGAATTTATTGACCCCTTGCCCTATAACATCGTGCGAGACTCGTGACGAAGATTTCAAGCAAAATTTAATAGATAATAATGGCATCCAATTCCTATGAATTCAAATTAAATATTATTTTTCTATTATCAATCATAATTCTTTAAAGTAAACGTAGATATAGAATCAGCATGAATCGCTCTTCTTCTTCTAGTAAATTAGAAATAATAATGTAATTCGATCGAGTGCAGTTGTGAAAGAAATCATACGGCAAGGGGTTAAAGCGTAAATGAACAAAACGAAGATCGAACGCAGCCTATCCCTGGCCCTTTCTTCCCTACAATCCCCGAAACCGTAAGAGACCGAACATCAAGGTGATAATACAAATCTAAGATGTATTACACACCAATAACAATGTTAACACATTCGCGGACAGTAGAAATTTTAATGAGCCGCAAAAATAGAAAAAATGCAAATGCCGTACTCCGAGGAATTAAATTCATGACAATGTGGCTTATAAATTTCAATGTTATAGCATTCATGTCATTTTGCGTTACAATGAAAATGAATGCTATAGCATTGGTGTTAATTGTTCTATTATTTAGCATAGTGTAATACAATTGTCCTGCGATGATTGGTGAGATTCACTCGATGAAAATGAATCCAACTGTTTAACAATGAAAGCATTATTTAAAATATTCTTCAACTATTGCTTCTACAAATGCTCAAGAACTCATCACTAATGGGTGAAGATGCCAAAGGGTGCGAGCACTATCTATCTAAATATCTACAATAAACTTCGCGAATAAATTTCACACGTGAATATGTCTTTATATTTCAGAACACTTTTACATTTCATTATGCTTTATATATATATTAAATAATATATTAAATATATTAAACTATTATTAAAATCACAATTTTCGCGCTAAATGACTTTTCATATTAAAATCAGTACGTATGTTCCATCAACTGTATTTACTTATTACCATCCTTGCATACGCTGTGATCTCTCTAAAATATGAACTGTACCCCGAAAAATCATTTCAACTTATACATACGTACAAACAGTTAAGTAAAATTATGAGCATTTTAAAGATGTTGTCAATCTATGAAATCAATTCGGAAACTTTGTTATAATTTTGCGTTACATCTGAAAACTACCGAAATAGAATGTATCGTTTGAATGTAGTCGGTGGTTCTCAATAGACAATAGTACCAAGAAAACAATACATAGGGTGCATCGGGTAGTAAAACCGGGTGTGGATAAATTTCTTGTGGAAAAATATATCGAAAAATACAATAAGCATCTTTTTTTTTTCTTTTGAGAAAATTAGATTTGAAAATTGAAAGCGCACGCTTCAACTAGCCATGCTTTCGTCTATCCTTTAGTTAAGCATATACTATGATATGGTAATTATGATCGTGTAAACGATAGCAATGTCACGCTTGGATCAACTCTGTTAATTACTTCATTTATTAAATCAGCTGCACAATCTCTGAATTGGTCGTAATGAAACAGTTATTTAATCGTGAAGATCACAGTAATTATCATTGAAATTTTTTTATAGTATTGCATAGAAGATTATACTGATAATGAGAAGCATACAAATCGTAAACAATTAATGAAGCATACATGCATTTAGCCAAGTACAAATAAAATAGTTAAAAATAGTTACTCTATATCTTCAATTTACTTTTACAGAAGTAATCTACTCGTACCCAGTATTATATCAAGTTTCAACACCCATTATAAAAATGATCAATTTCAAATTATCTAATTACCTAATTATAAGAATAACTTAGATAACCAATTTTTTATTAATTTCCTTTCTATATTTAACTGCGTGTGAAAGTTCTAAAAATGATTTGGTATATTTATTATAGATGCTAAGACATATAGAATAATTATTTGATTCCTTAGTTACAAAAATCATGAATTCTACGAAAGTTATATCAAAAATTGAAAATGATATCGTTCATACTTTTACAGCGACGACACCTACCGACAGCTATTATTCTCAACGAAGCCGAACTTGGCGACATATCATCAGTGTCATTATTCCTGAAGTCACGCAACGTTAAAAGGAAAAAAAACATGTTCAACAAGTAGTAGCACTCTGCTTACTCGTATTTCTTAACGCCTCGATAACAAGTACCTAGATTATTTATTCACTTCCCCGAAAGTGAAAGCAACGCGGAAAGGGGTAAGTTTAAAGCCAGTGACATAAGATTCCTTATCCGTTGTTAACGAATAGAGATGCATTATAAAATTTATTTTGAACGCTTTCATAATACTGTATACAAATTGCTTATACCATACATTTGAATAATTTTTACAGATTTGTTTACAATTTTTTAATTATAAATTCATTCCACTGTTGACAACCAATTAACCCCTTGCTGCATAATAACGAGTGAGACTCGTGGTAAAGATGTTTAGAACAATTTACTGAAAGTCCATATTATTTATTATACATAGATAAAAGTGAAAAATTATATTGCTATTCTCAATGTTTTTATCTTCGGAATAAACTTCCATTCACAATGGATGGGAAATTTCTTTGTTTTCTCACGAATGATTGATAGTAAAATTTGTTAGACGAACATAGTCGTAAAGAAAATTGTACGTCAAGGGATCAACTAAATCAATTTTCAATGAATATCGAATCAGCGTTAACACGTTTAGTATGGTACACGCCAATTTCTGTAAGAAAACATTTTTAAGGGACACATGGCCGCGGATGATGGTATGCGTTACAAAGCAGCAAGAACATAAAGAAAAATATCAAAATATATAAAAATTACCAAAAACTTAAATATAACTTAATATTTTATTGAAAAAATCAATACAGTTCATAAGTAAAATATGACCGACATTTCTATGGCACGGAACGTGTTAATGATTGTCTCCAATTAAATAATAGTGACTTTAAAACATTACCGTTTGAACCATTAACTCTTCCACATTAAATTAAAAATTTCGAAACATAGGTAAGTATACATGTAAAACAGTTGAAGTCAGACAAATAAGACAAGACAGAAGGAACATAAACCTTTCTTAAATGAAAATTAATAATATTTGATATTGAATGTACCACTTAAACTCAACTATTAACGTATAGTATTAATCAATGTTGTAAATAAAACCTAATGAAACATATTGTATCCTTAAGATATAATTGACTTATTAGTTTCTCATCTATTCGTGCTCAACACTTAGATCCAGAAGTGTTGGCTACAAAGCTTGAAATTTATGTTTATCTGTAGAATTATCACACTTCCGATTTTACTATGAATTTCGAGAAACTATGCACATTTTTCCTGTTCTATTTTTAGGTACTGGCTGTTAACAGTTCTTCGTGCTGATGAAACTTTACTGCCTAAGATTGAATTCAAACTGACTCGCTTATATCGGACAGCATTCTCAGGACAACAACATCTTGGATGTTCCAGACAGTTCATAAATAAAATATAACGGAAATTTCTGTGGCACAGAACGTGTTAACCCTTTGCACTCGAGGGGTGACTCCATGTCACAACCTGATATAGTAAAATTATAAAATCTTATGTATAATATTAAGCTGTGCACAATGCATCAGTATGTGAAATACTGAAATCGAACAGCTTCGTTCTTTAGTGTACGTGTTTTCTCATAAGCTAGATTCAAAGGATGTCGTCTACATTTGATCGGAAAGCGTTAAATATTTCTAGCGAGAAACTTTCGAGTTGAAAAGGTTAATTAGCGCAGCGTTAACACGTCCACGACGGGATGTTCCACCGGTGGTACATTCTTGTCTGTCCCATGGGACGGGGTGTAACACCGGTGGTACATGAACTATTGTCGCGTCATAGCATTTAAATAACTGGTTACTGTAATCAACAAATTTATTTACATCTTTATATGCATAAGAGAACTATTCTCTGAAGTCTCAAGTGTAACACCAAAGAGAAAATAAATACATACATAATTTCAAATTGGTCCCGCCAGATGGGAGAAAGTATAAAAAATAACACTATCCCACGGCAGGGACACTAAATTGAAGCCCCGTCGCGAACGTGTTAAACAGGGCCACACTGTTCTTATACAGCTGTATGAATTTTTCGCGTCTCTTCCTTCGAAAACCCGGCTACAATGGCAAAAGCTCCTTCTAAAGATTCGGGGCGCTGTAGGGGCGCTCCCAGGGGGCGGGGCCACCCTTTAGTTTCTGTCTCGCTCGCTTCGTGGCAATACTATTGAGTCTTCGCATCGGTCGGTTCGAGCAAGGGGCACGACGTACCGTCAACAATTACGCGATTTCATCTCCAGAATCGATCAACAGTTTCACAGAATCGTGAGCTCTATTGTTCCAGATCTCGTGAACCATTGAATGCCTACTACGCCTTTCGTTTAACTCAGTTTAACACAACTTTTCGCAGTTCCATCGAGCTAATTGCTCGGAGCATCGTAAAGTGAACAATTGCGTCCATTTCTATATACATTTCAAGGATGAAATTCTCCAATACCTCATACTCGAATTGTATGCCAAGAATAATCAGAATAAACATCGTTGATCAGAATGAAAAATGACAATCATTCTAAAAATTCTATTTTCTGCTGAACATGAAAATGTTAATGTACATTCTTCGGTGGTATTTTATTTGTTATTCTCACTTGCAGATTACTTGCGCAGGACAAAGAGAAACAAAGTTCTTTAACACGTTGAATACCGAACGATTTTACGAAGCAAAATACACGAAGTAGGGAAAAATATAATATCAAAATATTTGATTGAATTGCGTTATCATTGTTGCACAGTTATTGTGCTAAACGCCATCGCCTTAGGTTACATTATTTCTAATATGGAATAGGTTTTAAATAATCATTGTTTAATTGAGTGAATTATAGTAACTCGATTTAGTTGGGGGTCACCGGTGACCCCCACAGCATTCAACGTGTTAAAATTGCTCCTGGTATGATAAAAGGTAATATAAATATTCGAACACTCTTCTGACAGTTGGAAAGCATAGCATCGAACAATTCGAGATTCAAGTCAAAGAACACTTTATGAAATTTCAACTTAAAACTATTTCCTCAATTGAATTTTGGGCATTTTCTACAGTTAACCCTTTGCACTTCGCTGGCTCTGCTATAGAGATATAATTTCACAGATATACGATTCATTTCAAATTATGCAATTCTTCTTTTTATTCGGCTAAAGAAAATTGACAAAAGAAATTAAAAGAATCCATAAATGTCTGTAATTTTCTATTTTCTATTAAGGTATTGAAAATGTTCGAAGTGCAAAGGGTTAATGTTATAATCGATCCTGTAACAGTCGAGATTTCAATTAAAAAACACGACTAAACTAGAAAAATAATTTCCAATTAAAATTTCGGAAGATGTCGAGAGAAACCTTTGGTAGGAATAGTGTTAAACGAACCACTATACACCTGACCCTCGATTTACGCGAAAATCTGTTCCACGTGGGTTCGTTTTACGCGAACGAAAATTGCATAAATAGAGCCTGTCGGTACAAGAGAGAACAAAATATTGAAGAGAGAAGCTGGTATAAGATTTATAAATACATATTTATTTTACATGGCTTAGCAAAAGAAATAATAATAATGACATTTTAGAAAATAAAAGTATATTTTATTCCCTGTTACTAAATTCAATTTACCGCGTAAAAAATAGGCTCGCGTGAAAAAAGTCCGTGTAAATCGAGGGTCAGGTGTGTTACGTTAACAAATGAAATCGGATCGTTATTCAGTTATCAACGACAGGATGACAGTGCAAGTTTCGCATTCTATAACTATTTCAGGCTAAACTATAGATGGAGTGAATTCAAGTATTTGGCGCTGGCGGTAAGTGGCGACAAAGGAAATGAAAAAGGAAGTACGTACTTCATCCAAGCGCAGTAACTCTTCCGCGGACATACTACTCCGATCACGTTTCTTGACATCTTTCCGTTCCTTTTTTTCACGCTTCCTCTTCTCCTTGTCGTCCTTCTCCGTGGCCTTCTTCATAAAGTTAAACATCTTCTGACTCACGATAATGATCTCGAGCCGAACGCGAGAAAGAGATACCGTAGGATATCTCCTCTCTTAATTGCTCGCCCGAACACACTTTTACGCGCAGTCGCGTATTTCAGTCGACCCCACGCACATAACGTGACAGTGTCCATCGAACCGACCGTGTAGATAACAACACTGCATTTCGTGACGCACTAAACAACTGAATAAAACCATCTCTATATAGGGTTGCGATAGCGGAAAATACGCGATGGGGGAGAGTAGCGGAGGGGGGAGGGGGTTCATGTATGTTCACCCGACTCGCGATACGCGGTGCACAAATGCGAACCGGTAAAAGAAAAGTTGCGATCGAATACCGAGTAAACAACGATACGTCGATTTCGATGTTCCGTTATTTTCAAAGCAAAGCGAGTACTAGCATGCTTCGGTATCCCTGTCGAATCGATATTTATAAATTTACAGATTTACAGGTACGACTAAGAATTAACCCTTTGCACTCGGAAGGTGACTCTCAGTCACCACTTGGTTTGATACGGTAAAATTATAAAGTTTAATGTTTAATAAACTTTGTATAACGCGTCGCTACGTGAAATATTAAAGTAAAATACTTTTGTCCCTTAATTTATCGATTAAATTATTTACATTACTCGCAACAAGCATCGTCTATATTTTATCCAAGAGTGCTGAATATTTCTAGTAAAACACTTTCGAGTGCAAAGAGTTAACCACTCGGAAAGTGACTCTCAGTCACCACTTGATTTTACGCAGTGAAACTATAAAATATGATATTTAATGTTGAACTTTGCGTAATACCTCGATACGTGAAATACTGGAATAAAATAGCTTCGTTCCTCAATGTACTTGTGATTTCTGTAAGAGTTAGTTTCAAAGAAATCTTTGTTTCATCAAAAAATGTTAAATATTTCTAGCGAGAATCTTCCGAGTGCAAAGGGTTAAATACGATAGGTGCGCGTACAATTATTGTGTAGTCGGTTCTAGCAGTTACAGAACATGAAACGTGAAGAAAGTAAATTTCCAGTCAATAGTTATCGGTACGAGACGTACGCGCACAGGGGCGTGAACCTCTATCTGAGAAAAGTGTTTTTTCATGGCCGGTCGTTTCCGGCATTCAATCCCAGTAAGACCTATGAACACAAACTTTTCGAAGAATTGCTACCCCCTATTCGTTCGTTACCCACTATGGCAATGGCAACGAGTACGGAAAATGATGGTACAACGAATGGAAATTTACTGTCGCGAATAAAGCTCGAAAATGAATTCGCAAGAGCAAGCTCCCTTTACAATATAAATATAGAACGTTATTGTTTCCCTTATTTTAGTTCACTGAAAGCACGAGAATATAAAAGCGGCATGCACGAGGATTGCGAGATGATGATTTTAGCGGATTTTTGTATCGAGTATAGAATTTATATGTCGTTGAAAGAGAACGGAATGAAAAGAAATAGAAATCTACATGTCAAAATGGTTAGGAAGGCGAAGAGAATGAGGAAAAGGTATAGGGAAAGAAAGACAGAGAAAGAGAAAGAGAGAAGCTGGAGGGAAAAGGCACCTAGTGCACTTTCGTCTACATGTCACTTTCCACCACACCTTATACTCCCGTTGTTTCGATCAATTGAAAAGTCCTGCTTGTAAACAACTGACATGTAACCGAAGAAATAATTCTGTAGGTCGTAACAGCGTGGAAAGTTAATACTTTCTAGCGGAATTGAATAAACCGCGAAATAAATGTATGCTTTGATGAATCGTACGACGAACGAACAATGATGCGATTCCAAATACACGAGGAAACTGACAGGCAACACAACACGAGATACACGTCACAGAACCGTCACCATATCGCCACCCGCCATTCACCAGAACGAAAACGCGTGTTTAGAACGGAAACGATTCCTCTAGTGCAGCACACTGTATCATGTAGAACACCAATGCCATTGTTTATTTGTAAAGCGATAAACAAACATTCGTAGCCGTACTACAGCTTAGCCCATCGAATCGTTTCCCTTATCGTCATTAATAGAGAAAAATTCAACGTCGCACTCGTGTCACACTGATAACTGTCATGGTAGACGACTCGTTGCAAGTTACAAGCAGAACCGGTGGCGACTGCTGGCGTCCTAAACTGAATCATGGCCTGCAAGGCCCGCACCCTTCTTTCCGCAACACGTTACTGCGCACGCGCCGCAAATCGATCATATGTTGTGAACTGAACATACAACAAACTTTCTCGTTCAAATTTTTTTCAACCTTAAGTGAAAAATATATATATATATGTATATATGTATATATTTCTGATTGTACGATTTAATTCAATGTTGAGTGCAAAGTATATACTTTACCGTGCAAATTTAAACAATTATTATATGTAATGTAGTCAAATATTTTGTAAATGTGTGAATAACGGAATATGTACACATACATACTTAAACAGAATATTTAAAATATATTTACATTTAAATAGAGTTCTTTTTATTTCCTTTACACAATATCTAATTATCTCAGCTGCTTCCCTTTCCCTGCTCGATCGACATCTTACTGAGAATGAATGTAATGAAACGTACCTTCCAACAGCTGGCAGCACGTAATACAATTTGTCGAATAAAGAAACAATATCAATGGAATCTAACGGAGAATTGGTTTGCTAACGCGTTGTGCCGTCTCCTACGATAGTCTTTGATTATAAATTCATTCCAATGTTGACAACCAATTATTCTTTATGATTGTTGCCACAATGTTGCACCGCTGTATTTCTAGTGCTCGTACTTTTGCCGGCATTGTGAATACCGAAGTACGTTTACATTGTACTAAAAGTATCACATTTTCTCGATCGACGCGACGTCTGTGTACAGTAAACGCGCAATGCTCCACCGTTGGAGAAATTATCGAACAATGGAGCCACCGGTTTAGGAACGAAGGTGTTCCAGAACCCGTTGAATCGATCGAACACATCATTGCACATGTCATAGGTACTGACAAGGTACAGAGTTAAGATATATATATGTATACTTGTATTTTATGTTATATATATGTTTGTCAAAATGTCATTATTAAATTAAAATTATTTGGAAATTCTTAATTAAAATCTTTTTCTTTACCAAAATTATTTTTTACTATTCATAAATGTTATTTTTACCAGAAATATATAAAAATATTAATCATATCAAGAATAATCAGAAAATGCAGTTAAAAAAGAATGTACCATAGATTATATAAATATAAATTGTCTTAAATAAATAATTGTTAAAGTAATCATCACAATGTCATTATTTAATTCTAAGTTTATTTCCAAGAAAGATATCATTAGTATTGTATCTAATGTCTTTTAGAAATACTTATTTTCAGATAATAGATCTTATAAATATACGAAATGAGAAACTTACACCTGATCAATGTGAAAAGTTGGAATCATTATGCGAATGCCGGTTATCTAGGTAAAAGTAAGATACATTGATTAGGTGGAATTTACTTTTGTCCTATAACGGTTTATGAAAGTCAGTTTTTTTACAGAATGCCTGTTCAATATATAATAGGGGAATGGAGTTTTCGAGATATTACATTAAAATTAGTCCCACCAATTTTCATTCCACGGCCAGAAACTGAGATACTAGTTGATTTTGTGTTGAAAAGAATAGATTCTTCCTCGAAAAAGGAACTAGAAATTTTAGAACTGGGATGTGGTTCTGGAGCAATATCGCTTGCAATTGCTCATGCTAATAAAGCAGTAATTATTCTTATACTTGATTATTTATAGATTTTATATATAAACATTTCTTTCTTTAGTTAAATTGTATACCAATAACAAAAACATCATATATGTTTATATAGGTTACAATAATATTAATTTTCAGGTAAAATGTATAGCAGTAGATGTAAATCGTCAAGCTTGTGAATTATCTATTCAAAATTGTGATCAATTGAATTTAGGAAATCAAGTTTTAATTATACATGCAGTTCTTAAAGATAATGGCACGATAGAACATTTGGATGAATTAAATGGACCACAAAATCTTGACTTAAATTCAAAACTTTTTGACATTATCGTTAGCAATCCTCCATATATACCTACTAAACAAATATCTACATTATCTCCAGAAATTAAAATGTAATCAAATTACTTTTTATTTATAATTATATATCATAAAACATGGATGATTTAAATATTTCAAATGTTATGAAATTCTTTTATTTATCTTGTAGTTACGAAGATTTAAGAGCAATTGATGGAGGAGACGATGGTCTAAAAATTATCAAGCCTTTGTTAAAATATGCTGCTGCAGTTTTAAAACCTGGAGGACGTTTGCTTTTAGAGGTTGATTCAACTCATCCTGAATATATAGAATTTTTTACTAAAAAATACCCAACTTTACAGCTTCGATTTGAACATACATATAAAGATTTTTGTAATTATGATCGTTTTGTTGAAGTATCAAAAGTATCTTAAAATGTTACACTCAGCTAATAGATCTCAACACTAATAAAATATTAAAGACGAAATGCCTGTATATAGTTGTATGTAATGTTAATAAAAATTATTCATAGTAATATGAAATTACTGCATCAAAATCTATGTGAAAAATTTTTAGATTTATCTTATTATTAAGGAATTTCAATTGTAATAAATTAATAAGTAAACTTATAATTTAAATTTAATTAAAATTTAATCAATAAAACATGGTACGTACAAATACAGAATTTAAAATAGCAAAATGAACTTTCTATAAGAATATATAAAACTGAAATTAATTTTAATTTGTTACATTTCATTTGAGTATTCAATCTATTAATATAAAAACTAGGTGTTAGTACATCAAGTATACTTTACTATATGTCAGTGAATTTGTTTAATTATT